TTTAGGCAATGATTCTAAGTTTGGATTTTATTAGACACAATAAGAGCAGATATTTCTACATAAATATTTGATATTTTGTATAATAGTATGATAAAATGTAGGCAAAAGTGGCGAAAAAGGCACACACCAACCCGTACAATAGATATAAAATAGTTCAATAAGAAATAATTTAAGAATTGCTGTAATAAAAGGATTTTCCACTGATTTCGTAATGGAACGTTATATTGCAAAACATGGCATGATAAAGAAGAAAATCAATTTTAAAATCAGAAAATAACATTGCAAATACTTATTTGGTAGAATTCAACTCCCAATAAATATGTGTTGTTTGAAATACAGTTTAATAAAAATGAACAGCTGTTCCCAGCTGTTTCAAAGTATTATTCTCATGACCAAAATGTAAACAACTCTGTGGAGGGATCTTTAAAGGCTTCTGGGGCAGTCCTATGGGATTTTGTTTAGTTTTTCTTTTGATAACTCATCTACAGACCAAGACCTTTCTTTGGACACCTCTACCAAGTTTCTACGCCCAACCGTTCTCTCAAATTAGTGGGGTTTAAAGTTTCCAATCAAATTTTTAGATTCCCCCATGTTAATCTTATGGGATAAACTCCAACTTTGATGGCCTGAGGGGCAAAGCCCGAGGATTTTTACTACATGAATTGGTGAAAGGGGGCGTCTACACAAAAAATACTTTATTTTGACACGTCGTTTGTAAAAATCCGTCCATTATTAACGGAGGAGTAGTGTTTTGTAGAAATCACCTTCACGTATTATATATCGATGGTTATAAGCACAATAGTTGTATGTCCATTTTGGTAAACTTTCGGAAACCGCAAAAACAAAGTTTGTATTATGGGGGAAACTTAAACTAAAACTGTTAAATGTTTGAAATAAATAAATTTTATTGGCCCCATTTATTAAAAATACATCTACATAAATAGTTTTATCTTTATTCAAGCCACATTTTTACAAATAATTTGTAAATCAAACCATGTTGGACATACTATATGTGTGCACTTCTGTACGCGCAGATTTATGGACATGCTACGAGTGTGCAATACAAAAACTGCCCCTAGATGGTTTTAGTAAGGAATGAAAAATTAAAAAAAAACTGTTATCATGGGCGCCCCCTGGCTAAAAAAATTAGAAATAAATTTAATACACATAATGTTCTGTGATCACTTGGGTTTTAAGGAATTTATAAAAGTATGTTCAAAATGGTCATGTCTAAAAAATGTTTTAAATTGATGTTTAAATCAAATAAGTAGTTGACTTACAGATGTAAAAATCTTTCATACTGTGTATACTTTCGTACTTTAACAAAACTATTCAGAAAACAAAACATAAACTTTCTTGGCTGTTATCTAGGCTTTATTCAACTATAATTTTTTTTCTTTATAATTGTTTGGTTAATTGTTAATGTTGGCATAAAAAACGACGACTCCCTCAGGTGACCGTCCTTGATGCACAATGTACTATTTTGTTTTGGTTGGTTTTATGTATTACAAAGTAGCGTAAAAATATGTTTTAAAACACTATATTTTCAGATTTTTTCCCGGGGAAGGCCCCGAACCCCTGGAGGTTCGTTAGACCTATATATTGCACCCCCCTGTTCCAAATTCTGCGGACGCCCATGACTGTTATTGTCTTACATTGTAGACTACTTTTATTTTTAACATTTTAAAAATAAAAATTACTTGGCCTACCAGCTATTAGAAACTTAAACACAAATAGGCCTAAACGAAACATTAAACTAAGCACGAAATAAATCAGGTAGTGCCTTTTGTAAAATGGTACCTATTCAGTACAAACTGTATTTTGTTGAGTCAGTCTTTATGGGGTTTATTCAACAGTGCTGTCCTTTAGACACATTACTTTATTTTCTTATGAAGTTATAATTTCTTTTATTTTCTCTGGTTTTTTTAGCCTCCTTGGTTTTCTTAAACTCTCTTTACATTACTTCTTTTTCTGGTTTCTTGCCCTATAACATCTCTTCTACTGCGCCTTCCTTCTTTCTTTTTGGTAACTTCAGTGAGAGACTTGTTTCCTTCTTCTTCCTCTATGACGTAAAGTACAATATCTCTTGCCGATGCGGAACTAGGGATTTCAGTGACAAAATGCGTGAATGCTTCTGGGATTACACCCGCTTTAAGTAGGTACATCAAATCCTTTTTCTTGGCGCTGGAAACCGGAATAGGCTCGGTGTACTTTGGACTGAGAAGTTGTTGTTCCCAGACAAATGGCGTCTCGGAATCCATTCGTACATCAAGAGTCAAAAACTCTATTTCCTTGTTAAGTTCGTACTTGTATAGAATTTCAAAGGGGTTTGCTTTTTAAAACCCAAACCACTTTACCTTTAGCCAATTCACGGATTCTTTTTTGGTGTTATGTTCTGTTGTGCACAGATGCTGTATGTCCTAAACCTAACCTAATTGTAAAATAAAATGTGGACATACTATAAGAGTGCACTTGAGATCATCAGATTTTTGGACATACTACAAGATGAAAAACAAATACAAGAGATAGTAGGCCTTGTATTTTCATGCACAATCATTGCAAGTCCAAAGATACTATATCTGTGCTCTAAAGGAGTTTTTCTCTGTTCACCTGGTACTGTAATCATTGGACATGCTACAAGTGTGCAGGATAAAATTACATCATACCAAAGTGAACACTTTTATTTTGAGAATTTATATTAATTTTTCCTATTGTAATATGGACATACAATATGTGTGATCTGAAAGATGAAGACTACAGCTTTCCAAATATATAAAAATGTCAAAAGTGAAAAAAATTGGACATACAATGTTTGTGCATATAACCATCGATATAAGGATGAGAAAGTTTGGATGTATGTATGGATGTATGTTTGTGACAAGTGAACGCATTAACCACTGGGCGGATTTTGCTGAATTTTGGCATGATGATAGCTCACATTCCCAATTAACATATAGGCATATTCTTATCTCAAAAATCCTTTCGGGCTCCGCCCCAGTGGCTCTATAGTTCCCCATGTTAACCTTATGAGTATTCATATTAAAAGGGAATTAAATAATTTAGTCAGCTGTTTCAACATTAAAGTTGGTTCTATGATATGCAAAAGCATTAAAAACTTACAAGGATTACCAACAGGGTGCAGCACTATTATTATTTTTTTTAATTTATGACAACGGCTAATTTGCAACCAAAAGGTGAGTGAGTGTAGCGAACGAACTTCATCCTAGAGGCGAGTTAGCGTAGCGAACGAGCTAACCTGAAGGCAAGTGAGCGCAGCGAACGAGCTCCAACCTAAAGGTGAGTGAGCGTAGCGAACGAACTTCAACCAGGACGTGATTGAGCCATGCGAACGAGCTCACTTATGAAGTAAAACGGGGCAAAGCCCGCGCGTACAGCTGAGTGAGCGTAGCGAACAAACTTCAACCTGGAGGCGAGTTAGCGTAGCGAACGAGCTAACCTGAAGGCAAGTGAGCGCAGCGAACGAGCTATAACCTAAAGGTGAGTGAGCGTAGCGAACGAACTTCAACCAGGACGTGATTGAGCCATGCGAACGAGCTCACTTATGAAGTAAAACGGGGCAAAGCCCGCGCGTACAGCTGAGTGAGCGTAGCGAACAAACTTCAACCTGGAGGCGAGTTAGCGTAGCGAACGAGCTAACCTGAAGGCAAGTGAGCGCAGCGAACGAGCTCCAACCTAAAGGTGAGTGAGCGTAGCGAACGAACTTCAACCAGGACGTGATTGAGCCATGCGAACGAGCTCACTTATGAAGTAAAACGGGGCAAAGCCCGCGGGTACAGCTAGTATATAGATATAGCAGTTTTACAGTATATAGTAACCGCAAATAAATAATAACTAGAGAACCTGGCGCACGAAATCGTGCGCAATTAAGACAAAGGAGAAGAAGGAATTGTATTGATTTTTTATTTGGTGTTTTCTCGTTTCTTGGTTTTGTTGCTAAAGCTGGTTATGGTAAAAGGCCTAATAGGGTTCACAGTTTACCTGCCGTTTTTGCAGTTTCTTTTGTGAAAGTCAGTAAAAGATTCTCTTTTGATTAATTGATGATAACCTAAATGATAAACCAAACCCTCTCGTTCCCACCAACAGTTTTGGCTGAAGTCTGGGACTTATTTGCCAGGTCCCATGATAAATCTTCTTTTTTTCTAGGAAACCCCCTCGTTCCCACCCCCCCCCCCTCTGGCCAATGCAATAATCACATCAGATTTTAATAAGGTATTAAGTAAAAGAATAACAAATAAATAAGTGCAGCTGAGGTATTTTGAACATTAAGTATATGGAAAGTTCCCTTTAGAAAGGATTTAATTACAACCTTTAAACAATTAAATAGACACTTATGAAATAATAAATAGTTTTGCTTAAGGTTTCTCGTCATGACGAACATTTTAGGTATATGATTTATGAGGGGTGTGACTTGTTGTTTTCTCAAAAGTTCATGGTTACTTTGGGATTTTTATATGGATGTCAGTAATAAATATTTTCTTGTACACTAGTAATCTTGATACTGAGGTCAGATGTTTGATCCATCAAATAAATAATGTTATAGGCAGCTGGTATGGTAAGGTGTAATGTTGGCAAGCTGACTATGCCACAACACTTGTCATTGGGAAGAAAACTATATAGAGGGTATATTACACTCACAGTTTAGGTGATTTTTACCGACATTTTATAACCACTTTTTGTAATTACTACAATTTTTTTAATTAATCTTAAAATTTGTACAATAATTTATGACCAAGGTATTTCTGAAGACCGTGATATTGCAAGAAACCAATCAATGCATTTTGGAATAGTGAAATTTAGTTTTAAGTTAGACATTATAGAACCAATAATGAGTATTCAGAGATATCCGTACACCAGCTTTAAATTACAGAATACGCTTCATACACACTACCTCTCAGACGACAAGCCGTCTCAGTTGTTATAACTGCAAAAAGACCTTCACTTACGACAAAGTTCATAATTACAACCTAATATATACTTGCCTGTAATGACTGTCGTTGTGTCTGTGTTGTAAGTGCTGAGACCTGATTCTGGGTTTGGTCATTTGCAGGGTTGTCTTCGTCTTCTGGTTGTAAAGGCTCGAACGGAGACTGGGGTCCAACAAACATATAGTTTACTCTTTTTATTAACGAAAATTACTTATATAATAATTTTTATTTATCCTGGATGATTGCCTTGATCCAAAATAAAACTTTAAAATTTTGATTTTTATTTGTTAAAATATGCTTTTAAATTCAACTGTTTAAATTAAAAAGATTCACTCTGCCGCATGGTTTGCTTACTTTACAGCACTAGTGTGGTAAAGACGGACCAGAGAGAATGTTTCAAGGAGTAAAATTGTAATGCTAAAACGCCAACTTGTCAGCTGGTAACGTCCAATTCAATTGTCGACCTCCCGACTTCTACTGAAAACTCAAACATAACCTAAGAATTATTGAGCCAAACGATTTGTAAACCACGAGTTTCAGGAAAGTATATTGAAAGATCTTGATCAGTCCTATATACGAAATAGAAGTAAGGGCTTGAACGGTTTGTACTAATCTTTTACCACCTAAATTAAAGCCAAGTTACGAAAAAATAATACGTTTGCAAAAATGTGTATTGATTCTTCTTCAATAATAATGTTAATAATTTAAGAGACATTTTATTTTTATTTGTTTTTATTTAAATTTGGTAACTAAACTGTGTCCATACATTCAGTTTTGCCACAAATGTGCAATATTTGTCTATTTTGTACCTAAAACAGTACTTAGGATGTCTTGAAACCATACGAACAAACTTTGGCACGTTATTCAGCAAGTCAAAATAAACAAAAAACTGTAATATAACATGTGTCCTATCTCATTCCGTTTTCAGTCCATATGTGTGTATGCTTTTTTAACCATTTTTTTAACCTTAACCACTTGAGCCAGAGTGTTGGATTTTTTTAAATGTTCATCTTTTTGACCAATATCTTTGTGAAAAATACCAATAAAAACTCATGAACCGTTTAAAATTGTCGGATTTTAAAAATATTCGATGCCAAATTCCATGGAAACCGTTAATTTTACAAAATATTGGAAAGTGATGTAAAATCTATTAAAAGTTATGCAGATTTAAACAAATATTTTATAAGCTTACTTTTGTCATATAATTCCTTTCTATCTGTACATTGAAACATCTGTTCAAATGTTTAGAAATTGTTTTTGTTTACTTTGATGTTTTGGTTCATATTGTAAACTTTTATATCATGCTAGATTCTTTGTTCAATAAAGCCTAACTAAAGGTTATTTCGTTTATAATGGTTTTATTCATTAAATCTACAACAATTTATTGACCAAAGAAGATTTTATTAAAATATACATCAATCTTTTTTCATGGAACGAATACTTAGACCTGAAAGATTTAATGCCAATCCTAATGAAGTCAATGCAAGTCAAGATTGGAAACATTGGTTTCACACTTTTGAAAATTTCATTGAAACTAGTAAAATCAGTGAAGAACTGAGGCTTAAAGTATTGACCAATTTCATTTCACCATCCGTTTATGAGTATGTAAATGACTGTGAAACATACAAACAAGCAATTGATGTGTTGAAAAAGTTGTACTTGAAACCTGTCAATGAAATTTACGCACGTCATAAACTTAGAATCAGAAGACAAGAGACTGGTGAGAACATTGATACTTATGTAGAATCTCTAATGCGCCTTTCCAAGGATTGTAACTTTAAAGCTGTAAGTGCTGTATCTAGTAGAGATGAATACATCAGAGACACTTTCATTGATGGCTTGCTAGTACCTCATATTCGTCAACGATTGTTGGAGAGCTCTACTTTGACTTTGGATGAAGCAGTTTCTCAAGCCAGATCGCTCGAACTTGCTAAATATCATTCCGAACAGTACAACTTAGAGAAGTGTTTACCAACCATTAACGCTGCAGCTTCAAAACCTATTGGTGAAAAGAATCGATACTTGTCTAGTCCTGATCCAAAACCCTCTTCTGCCGAACCAGAATCATATCCATCTCAAGAAAATATAGCGTGTTCACTCAATCAGACATGTTACTTCTGCGGCTTTAAGAAACACAACAGAGCTGCTTGTCCAGCTAAAGAAGCTATATGCAGAGGATGCGGCATTAAAGGTCATTACCAAAAGGTATGTAGAAAATCCAAAACACCAACTTCTACAGTAAAGGCATCAGTCCATCAGTCAAATTGTATTGCCTCAGTACCATCGTTTTTGAGTAAAGCTGTAGTCCCAGTACAATTAAATGGAGTCGATGCATACGCTCTTATAGATACTGGTAGTTCTGGTAGTTTTATCAATCAAAGCTCAGCACTTAGATTCAACATCCCTGTCATTCCATGTAATGGGGGAGAGGTATCAATGGCTTCCACAACTCTGCGTTCTTCAATAAAAGGGTACTGTAAAATCAATCTTAAATTGCAAGATCATACTTACAAGAATGTGGTCTTCAGCGTACTTACAAACTTATATTCTGCCATTATTATAGGACATGATTTTCTAAAAAGACACTCAAGTTTACAAGTTCAATTTGTAGGAAAAGAGTCTCCTCTCAACATATGTAGTGTAGCCTTAGCTAATGTTGAGCCAGTAGAACTATTTGGTAATCTATCTCCAGATTGCAAGCCTATTGCAGCAAAATCTCGAAGACACTCAGCAATTGACGAACAGTTTATTGAAAGTGAAATTCAATTACTGTTAAAAGAGGGTATTATTGAAGAAAGCAGGTCTCCATGGAGAGCACAAGTCCTTGTTGTTTCATCAGATAACCACAAGCGGCGGATGGTTGTGGATTATTCACAGACAATTAATCGTTTTACAGAACTTGATGCGTTTCCTCTCCCTAGGATTGACATAGTCAACAAAGTAGCTTCATACAAAGTTTATAGTTTTATTGATCTTAAGAGTGCCTATCACCAAATCCCAATAACAGAAAATGACAAACCTTACACGGCATTTGAAGCTTGCGGGAATTTGTACCAATTCACACGAGTGCCTTTTGGAGTTCGTAATGGTGTCCCTGCTTTTCAACGTACGTTAACCAACATAATCACTTATGAAAAACTTGAAGGTGTTCAAGTCTATCTGGATGATATAACAATCTGTGGCAATGATCAGGCTGAACATGACAGGAACTTGAGCAATTTCATGAAAGCTGTTTCCAAATATAATCTTACCTTGAATAAACATAAATGCAAGTTTTCTACAGCTGTGATCCATCTATTAGGTTATGTAATCAGTCATAAAACAATAAGACCAGATCCAGATCGTTTGCAACCACTTCGAGATCTTCCCATTCCAACCAACTCAAACTCTCTTCACAGAGCTCTTGGTATGTTCTCCCACTATTCACAATTCATTCCTAAATTTTCTGAGAAGGTGAGCTGTTTAAACAGAAGTTCATTTCCACTGAATGAAGAAGCTAAATGTGTATTCCAAAGACTTAAACAAGACATTGTTAATGCAGTAACTTCTTCGATTGACTGTGATGGGTTGTGATGGGGTGTTGAAACTGATGCATCAAATCATGCAATAGGAACAGCTTTGACTATTGATGGTAGACCAGTAGCGTTTTTCTCTAGAACACTAACAAACTCGGAACAGAAACATTCATCTATTGAGAAAGAAGCATATGCAATAGTTGAGGCTTTAAGAAAATGGAGGCACTATCTCATAGGCAGACACTTTCGCCTTATAACGGACCAACGATCTGTAGCATTCATGTTCAGTGATCGGAATGCGAGCAAAATCAAGAATGATAAAATACTGTAATGAGATGGAGAATTGAGTTATCTTGTTACAAGTATGAGATCATTTACAGAGCTGGAAAAGAGAACAAAACAGCAGATGCTTTGTCCAGGGTGTGTTCATCGATGAAAGGAAGTTTATCAAACCTAGTATCACTACATGACGCTTTATGTCATCCAGGAGTGTCTCGAATGTATCATTGGGCTCGAAGTAAAAACTTGCCTTATTCACTGGATGAGATCAGGAAAGTAACTTCCTCCTGTCGAACCTGTTTAGAGGTGAAATCTCGATTCCACAAACATGAAGGACAACTTATCAAAGCTACTCAACCATTCGAAAGACTGAATATAGATTTTAAAGGGCCACTTCCATCCAAAAGTAGAAATCGTTATCTTTTAATAGTCGTAGATGAATACTCTCGATTTCCATTCGCATTCCCTACTCAAGACACAACTGCTAGTACTGTTATTCTGAGACTTAAGGAACTTTTCTCAATGTTTGGAGTACCGGCTTATGTTCATTCTGACAGAGGTTCATGTTTTATGTCTCAAGATCTAAAATCATTTTTATGTTCACTAGGAGTTGCTACCAGTCGTAAAACAGCTTACAATCCTCAGGGTAACGGACAAGTTGAGAGATATGTTGGTATTATATGGAAGACAATCGAACTATCACTTAAAAGCAAAAATCTGGACATATCTGATTGGGAAAAAGTGCATTTAGAAGCTTTGCACTCTATCCGGTCGTTATTGTGTACTTCAACAAATACAACACCACATGAAAGACTATTTCTCTTTTCTAGAAGATCTAGTAATGGAAAGACAACTCCCTCGTGGCTCATGAACCCAGGTCCAGTGCTCATAAAACGGCCTGTCAGGAGCTCAAAATACGAACCACTCGTTGAAGAAGTACTGCTCCTTGAGGGGAATCCTGAGTATTCTCACATAAGATATGCAGATGGCCGTGAAACTTCAGTGAGTTCCAGGCATTTAGCACCTGTAGGAGAAGTGTCATGTCATGAAGAAGACTCAAACTCCAATCTACGAGATGAAGAAGACTCAAACTCAAATCTACGACATGAAGAAGGCTCAAACTCAAATCTACAAATAAATGAAAACGATCTGTAGCATTCATGTTCAGTGATCGGAATGCGAGCAAAATCAAGAATGATAAAATACTGTAATGAGATGGAGAATTGAGTTATCTTGTTACAAGTATGAGATCATTTACAGAGCTGGAAAAGAGAACAAAACAGCAGATGCTTTGTCCAGGGTGTGTTCATCGATGAAAGGAAGTTTATCAAACCTAGTATCACTACATGACGCTTTATGTCATCCAGG